ACGATATAGACGATGATAATGACAACCAAACACAATAACAATTATAATTAAAAACACGGCCATCTATGACGTCGACAGTTAAATTGGCTCGGCGGCTGTGATATCATAACCCCCCCCCCCCATTCAACCCCTTCTAACCCCCCCCCCCTTAAGGACGCCCCTGAAGTGCTCACCAGGAACGACCTCACGACCTCACCTGCCGTGCAGATGTCACTCGCTTCGCTCTCCTCTCTCTCTTCTCTCTCTCTCTCTCTCTCTCCTCTCTCTCTCTCTCTCTCTCTCTCTCTCTCTCTCTCTCTCTCTTAATATTCTTCTCTCTTCGCTCGTTCGCTCTCTCTCTCTCTCTCTCTCTCTCTCTCTCTCTCTCTCTCTCTCTCTCCTCTCTCTCCTCTCACTCTCTCCTCTCTCTCTCTCTCTCTCTCTGTTCTCTCTCTCTCTCTCTTCTCTTCTCTGTTTTCTCTCTTCCTCTCTCTTTCTTTGTGTTTCTCTTCTCTCTCTCTCTCTCTCTCTCTCTCTCTCTCTCTCTCTCTCTCTCTCCTCTCTCTCTCTCTCTCTCTTCTCTATTTCTCTCTCTCTATTTCTCTCTCTCTATTTCTCTCTCTCTCTCTATTTCTCCTCTCTCTCTCTCTATTTCTCTCTTCTCTTCTCTCTCTCTCTCTCTCTCTCTTCTCTCTCTCTCTCTCTCTCTCTCTCTCTCTCTCTCTCGCTCTCTCTCTTCTCCTCTCTCTCTCTNAGAGAGAGAGAGAGAGAAGGAGAGAGAGAGAGAGAGAAGAAAGAAGAAGAAAAAAACTCAAGTCGTATTCTTGTGCATTCTTGGCATAGGTCATTTTTCTTGTTGTTTTCGAACGAATCTTCCCGCTCATTTCCTTCGCAAACGACGAATGACTAAGACATCGGTCCCGATAGCTGGGGAGGGCATGGTAGGCCTACATATCAGGGAATTTCGAGAAATATCGGTAGAATAATAACAAGCATAGTATATTAACACATTTCCAGGTTGTATAAGACTCTTCGCCTCGTATGTTCCTGCAGGAGAGAGCCAGACCCAGGAACAGTTTGAACCACATCTTTCCTTCAGCCTTAACTCCAGGTGGGTCAGGCTGCGGGTCACTGGGATCGTCGGGGTCATCCAGGTCGTTGTTGGCGGGGATTGCGATCGCTTTCAGCAAAGTTACACTGCTTCCTTCGTTTTGTTTTTTAACCCTTTTCCATGCACCACAAACCCACTGGTGTCTGCCATTCCTGGTAGGACACGGTGTCTTACAGTGCGGGCATTGTACTTCCACTGGAAGTACACCGTGATGTAGATTTAGTAAGCTTGCTTCATTTTGTTGATATTTCGCAGTGAAATCGTAATAATTGTTCTCACAACCTACACACTGTCTAGCCATGATGGAACTGATTTGAATTTTAAAAGGCTTCTCCTAGGCCCAGCTTCTATTGTCACGTGATGATCTATTCCATATCTGATTGGTTCTATCGAGTGTCTATGTTCACGTCACGTTCACGCACGAATCTAATTGGCTCATTTGATTTCCCTCGCATACGTCATCCGCTACGAATCCGTCCGATTTCCCGTCGCTCTTAACGACTTTTTGTCATTTTGTCGCGGCGTTGGAGGCGGAAGGTGACTGCGGCTCCTGGAAATCATGGATTTTATATCTTCTATAACACCTTTATTATCAATCTGCGCAGAAAATGGTATAGAAGAAACCCTTTAGAGAATGATGTGTTCTACCTCATGGTAAGCTCAATTTCTTTAAATAAACACACACACACGCAATTACACGCACACACACACACACACACACACACACGCAATTACACGCACACACACACACACACACACACACGCAATTACACGCACACACACACACACACACACACACACGCAATTACACGCACACACACACACACACACACACACACACACACGCAATTACACGCACACACACACACACACACACACACGCAATTACACGCACACACACACACACACACACGTAATAACTTCGTATAGCATACATTATACGAAGTTATACGACCATATCTGATTGGTTCTATCGAGTGTCTATGTTCACGTCACGTTCACGCACGAATCTAATTGGCTCATTTGATTTCCCTCGCATACGTCATCCGCTACGAATCCGTCCGATTTCCCGTCGCTCTTAACGACTTTTTTGTCATTTTGTCGCGGCGCTGGAGACGTAAAGTAACTGTGGCTCTTAGAAATCATGGATTTTATATCTTCTATAACACCGTTATTATCAATCTGTGCAGAAAATGGTATAGAAGAAGCCCTTTAGAGAATGATGTGTTCTACCTCATGGTAAGCTCAATTTCTTTCAATAAACACACACACACGCAATTACACGCACACACACACACACACACACACACGCAATTACACGCACACACACACACACACACACACACGCAATTACACGCACACACACACACACACACACACACACACACACGCAATTACACGCACACACACACACACACACACACACGCAATTACACGCACACACACACACACACACACACACATACACACACACACACACACATATATATATATGTATGTATATATATATATATATATATATATGTATGTATATATATATATATATATATATATAGAAATGTATATATACATACATATATATATATATATATATATATATGTTACGTTTCTCCCCGCTGAAGCTCTCCATGTACAGGATGCCGAGAACGCAAAATCTTCTCATTAGCCTTTGTATTTTGATATACTCGACTGCATTTAAGCATCCAAATATAATTTCTTAATCCAATAGAATTAAAACGAAAAAAAGAAAATGTGGACTATATGTGCATGTGTGTGTGCGTTATCATCATCATCATTATTATCATTATTATTATCATTATCATTATTGTTATGATTACTATTTTTGTTGTGTTATTGTTGTTATTATATTTTTTATTATTTTTATCACTATTATTATCATCATCATCATCATCAATATCATCACCATCATTATCATTATTATTGTTATTATTATTATTATAATTATCATTGTTTATATTATTATTATCATTATTATTATCATTATTATTATCATCATCATCATTTTATCATAATCTTTATCCTTTTTATGATGATTATTATTATCATCATTATTAATTTTTCTTTATGAAAATTGTTAAAATCATGATTGTCAGTATTATCTCTATCATGATTTTTGTTATTATTGTTATAATTATCATTATCATTTTTCTATCATTCTTGTTATTCTTATTCTTGTCATTATTATATTACTCTTAATATTATTAATCTCATCACATTCCTATTGTCATTTTTGTTATTATTACCCAAACAATCATTATTATTATGATCATTAATATCATTATAAGCAACCATAATATAACTCATTTCATCATCACCATTATCATAATTACCATTCTTTACTTAATATTTCTCCTTCTTCCTATCATAATTATTTTTGTTAACATAGTTATCATTATTTTTATTAGTATTATTATCATTCTTAGTCATTGTTATTGCTAGTAATTTTATCATTATTATTATCATTGTCATCATTATAATAACTATTATTATTGTCATATTGTTATTGTTATTAATGTTATTGCTATTGTCACTATTCTTATTATTATTTATTGGTATTATCATGAATACCATTATTATTATTATAATTGTCATTATTATATCATTATCATCACATTATTGTTATTACTATATTTATCATCATCATTAGTATGAGTGTTATTATATTATTGTTATTATAATTTTCATGGTTATTATTTTTATCATTATCGTTACTATTTCTTCTATTGTTATTAGTATTTATTTTTCCATTTACGTTTTCGCATATTTACTGGAATATATACATTGAAGGTGACTCGAATACAGTTTCATATATTTCCTTTTTTTGTCAGTGTTCCCTTCTTGTTTTCTTTGTCTTTCTCTTCCTCTCCTTTTCTCTGTTTCTTTCTCCTTCTTTGTCTGTCTCAAATGTTTATTTGCCTGTCTGTCGCCGTCTGCTTATCAGCTTTTCTATTTCTCTGTCCTCTTTGTCTGTCTCTCTCTCAATCTATTTACTCTCTCTCTCTCTTTACTCTTTCTATCTCGCTCTCACACACACACTCACCCTCTCTCTCTCTCTTTACTCTTTCTACCTCGCTCTCACACACACACTCCCCCTCTCTCTCTCTCTCTTTACTCTTTCTACCTCGCTCTCACACACACACTCACCCTCTCTCTCTCTCTTTACTCTTTCTACCTCTCTCTCACACACACACTCACCCTCTCGCTCTCTCTTTACTCTTTCTATCTCGCTCTCACACACACACTCCCCCTCTCTCTCTCTCTCTTTACTCTTTCTCCCTCGCTCTCACACACACACGCCCCCTCTCTCTCTCTCTTTACTCTTTCTATCTCGCTCTCACACACACTCACCCCCTCTCTCTCTCTTTACTCTTTCTACCTCGCTCTCACACACACACTCACCCTCTCTCTCTCTCTTTACTCTTTCTACCTCGCTCTCACACACACACTCACCCTCTCTCTCTCTCTTTACTCTTTCTATCTCGCTCTCTCACACACACTCACCCTCTCTCTCTCTCTCTCTTTACTCTTTCTGTCTCGCTCTCACACACACACTCACCCCCCTCTCTCTCTTTACTCTTTCTATCTCTCTCTCACACACACACTCACTCGGTTTCTTTACCTTATATATTTCCTTTGTATTCAGGCTGTTATTAAAATCATCTTTATTAATAAACATTTCAACGACATAATATCAGTGATGAACGATTACTATTTCATTATAACTTTCCAAACTTTATTGATATCATCTCATGGTATTTTCCAAATTGCATGTGACAGAAGTTAAGAATTTTTCAGTACTACTTATATGGTCTCTTCGTTTCTTCTCAGTAGGTTCGCTTCACGTGCTCACTGTCGAGGCTCAGGAGTCAGTGTCGTTATCTTCATCAGATTACTGTTCATTCTCGGCACGCCTGGCCTCTCGTTTTTTGTCGCTGGCTTTCGATTTTTTCACGGCTTTCGAGGTTCTGTCTCCGTCCTTTTTCTTCTCGTCCTTGTCGGGTTTTGCCGCTTTCGGCGAATTTTGCTCTTTCTTCTTCTCGTTTTGTTTGCTTTCTGCTTGTGTGGTGTGATTCTCCCTCGCGTTGGCTCCTGCCACTTCCTTGAGCTCGTCGTCAGGAGGGACTCCGTACCAGAACGAGTCCGCTGCCTGGCCGGATTCGGGCGCTGCCTGGCCGGATTCGGGCGCTGCCTGGACGGATTCGGGTGCTACCTGGACGGATTCGGGAGCTGCCTGGCCGGATTCGGGTGCTACCTGGGCGGATTCGGGCGCTGCCTGGCCGGATTCTGGCGCTGCCTGGCCGGATTCGGGGCCTGGCTGGTATGTGGGCGCAACGTTGTAGTCCTGAACGTACTGTGGCACCGGTGGCTCGGACTCGTATTCCCCCTCCATGAGTTGACGCGCCCTTCTGAGTTTGCTCACTTCGCCGCTCTTCGCCGGTTTAGGGAGGAGCATTTCTTCTTCGCCTTCTTGGAGGTCAACATCGCCCAACATTTTCGCCGATTTGAGCCTCTCGCCGTTGATATCTTTTGTTTGCTCTTGGAGATTCCCGTCTGATAACTGCATGCCCGTGTCCGCTGGATCCAAATCTAGGTTATTTTCCAAAAGGTAGGGATCAAATTTGTGTGCACGTTGGTTTCTCGGGACTTCGTCTTCGGGTTCTTTTGTAGCTCCTCTCTCGTATTTGGAAAACCGACTCAGACGATCAGCCTTAGACACACTCCTCCTTCGGCGAGTTCCCGCTTCACTGCCTTGTTCCGGGGGCGAAGAATCGTCTTCGAGGGCGCGGGAACCCGGCTCTCGGGCGCTCTGCTTCTCTGCGCTTGATCTGGTCCGGCGGCGCCCTTCAGGCTCTTCCTCTTCCAAGGCGTCACGTTCTTCTGAATCTAGACTAATCGCTCTTGGTTTTGGAATTGTTCCAAGGACTCTCTTTTGTCGACCCTCTTCCGGCTTTGTCAGATCAGAGAGTGCCAGCACGGTCTCTATTATCTTAACGTCTGGAAGGTCTGCAGCATTGTCTGTTTGCCGATGAATATCATCTATTAGGTCCTTTATCATCGATTTCCCAGACGACGCTCTGTCGGTTGCTCTTGACATCCTCTTCACTTTCAACAAATCTAGGTCTGTCGGCATCTGTTCCTCTGCCTTACGCTTATGTCTGTCCTTTGTTGATAACCCGAGAACTTCTGCCAACTCGTCTGCCGCTGAATTCTCTTGATTCATCTTCCATTCATCTTCCAAGCCTTCATCATTACTTGAGCTTCTTTTAAACAGCCCCTCTCCTTCCGATGGCTCCGAAAGCAGGGCATCTTCTAGTGCTCCCACTGCCTCCTCTTCGGACAATTTATCCTCGCCTTTATTAAGAGATCTTTTGACTGGTTTGCTTTTTGGAATCAATTCTTCTAAAAGCTCCTCTGCTTCGCTTATTTTGGTGAGTTTGTCAATGGGGAACAGTTCTCGCAGGACTTCATTGCCTTCCCTTTCATCTGCTTTGTTTACTATTTTGTTATTTACAAGCAGTTCCTCTAAAACTCCTTGTGCACCATTTCTTCCTTTGACATCTCTTGGGAGCAATTCTTCTGCAACTTCCTCTACCTCGTTGATTAGGGCGAGTTCATCTTTTACAAGTTTATCTGCAACATTTATTTTCGCGGTTTTGTCTAGAACTTTCTTCACTACATCTCGTTTCCTCATTTCAGCATTTGGGGGCAAATCTTCTAAAAAATCTTCTATATCATCTATTACCTTCAGTTCATCTTCTGAAAGCCGTTCCTCGAAAGCTTCACGCTCTTCTATCCTGGCAGGCTTATCTTTTAGTTCTTCTAAAATTCCCTTTTCTTCACTTCTTTTGCTAACCTTAACTTTTGCAAACAGGTCCTCTAATTCTTCCTGTGCTTTACTTAGTTTCTCTTTTAATGGCAAAGTAAAACTATCCATATCATCCTCTACAACTTCCTCTTCCGCATCACATGCCATTCGCTTGCGCATGGCATGCGATGGCTCCTTGGCGCTGTCAATCAAATCATTTAGTGATTCCTCTCCCTCTGCTACGGTTCGAGGCTCTCCCAGTTCCTCAGCCAAATGTAACAGAGCTTCAGCTTTATTCAGCTCACCATTGACTTGCTTTTTTATCTCGCCATTCAGGGCAGATATCTCTGACGCTGATAAACCGCTGTCCAGGGGAATTCGGCGTTCTTCTCTCGACTCCTCCTCAGGATTCGCGCCGCCACGTCCCTCCCGCAGAGAGTTTCGGTCGGGCAGGGATCGGCCGTCCTTCTCGGGCTCCCTCCCGGGCACCGCTTCGTCTTCCTCGATTTCGTTCGATCCTCGGGCGTTCCCGTCGAAGTATTCCCTCGAGAGACGCTGGCCGGGGACGGAGACGTCGGAGGTC